CCAGGTAACATACTAACAACTCTTTCGTACTCCTAGTGGTCATTAGAAATGAGTTATAGCTTGAGCGTAAGTTATGAAGCTTAGTGTTATATGCTAATGGTAGATTACATGATTTATGTTATAAGCATGATATAAAGCCTTATTTATGATCATATATGATCATAGCCAGGGAATCAAAAAGCGGAGCGCAACCGCAATAGCGACCGTTATTTCGCGGTAGCACCGCCGTCCGAAACCGATAATTGGAAAAATTGCGGTGGGTGGCGGAATCACAACAATAACAATCTTTCGCGGCCGCAATTTAGCGTCTAACGGCAAATAACGTCGATAACAGGACGCTATTCCCGTTATACACAAGTTTTCGCGTAAAAGAAACCCACTGCCATAGCTTGCTCTCATCATCAAAATAGAACAAATATTAAAGAGAGAGAAAAGCAAGCAACGCCAGAGAAAGTGAGTAAGCCTCTTACAAATGGCTGAGAGCTGGTCGATAAGCAAATGCGTCTTCGTTTTTATGCTCATTCATCTTCTTCTTCACTTGCTGAAGATGGTATGTACTGTCACTTTCCTCCATTTTTGAAGCTCTAATTTGCATTGTTTATGGATTATGTTTTATGGTTTCTTGCTTTTGTTTGAGAATTACATGCTGCTTTTGGGACTTTCTAATTTTTCTTTTGTTTTGGTGCTCTCTGCATGTGTTTGTCGATGAGGATTGTTGGAGTGGAGAAGAAGACAAAGGCTTATTCTAGGTAAGGAAAGGATTTGGGCTTGGGGTTCAATTTGGGTGAATATTTGGATATTTAAAATTTTGGGTTGTTAAAGCGGACCTTTATAATTTGATTTTGATGCTGTTTTTTGGTGTATGGATCTTGGATTTTAAATTAGATTAAGAATCCAATTAAAAAATGTGGTAAACTTGTTACCGTTTATAAGTTAGAAGCATATGTTGTTACCTTAAAATGTATGATGGAAAAATAGAACATCAAGTATAATTATTATATTTTCTATTAACTTGTGCTAATTTTAAAAAAATTCACGACCGCGACACCCGCAGTGACCGTGATTGCATCCGTTATGTCCGCAACCGCGATAAACGCGACGCGACCGAAAACGTGACCGCGAACGCTATTTAAATCCCTGCTCATAGCAATCGCATAAGCCTTATTTTGATGTGTTAATGGAACGATAATGTGTAAATATTTTACTATGACTTGGTATGCAGATAGAAATGTGGTTTGCGACCTACGGTTTTATCATTCACTTCATACCCGATCCCACTGGGTTCTCAAGATGAAATTGGTAAACTCAAGTAGAAGCCATTTTGTGCTGCCAAATAGATGGCGCGAGTCAAGAACAAAAAGAGCATGGCCGAGCAATTCTACAGATCAGCTTCAAAGTGACTATGTAAATGTTGAATCATCATCTTCAGAGTCTTTAAATGTGGAAGTTCCTTCAAGTTCAGATGATGGGGCTGATACTTCCAATTACAATGTTGTTAATAACATTGAGACTTCACGTGTCAGACCAAAATATTTTAGAAATGGGTTTCTAAACTTTGTACGGTTGAGTTCTGTCCTGAATAATGCCGCTGAATCATTCTTCAAGAGTGAGATTCGACGGAGGCTATTTGTTACAGCTGTGCTTCTTGTAATTAGTCGTGTTGGATATTTCATCCCTCCACCTGGATTTGATAGAAGGTTGATACCTCAGGATTATCTTAGTTTTGTCTGTGGGTCTGTTGGTACTGCAATCTAGAATAAAAGCTTTCACCCTTTTCCCTTCCTTTTAAGCTACGGGGAGTTTTGTTTTTATTTATGGTCAGTATTGTTAATTAATTTTCGTCTATAACAAATTTGTGGCCTTTTATTTTGCTTTTGGTAGATGACCTGGGTGATTTTTCTGCGGAGCTTAAACTGTCCTTTTTTCAGCTTGGAATCAGCCCTCAGATCATTGAATCTATAATTATGCAGGTTTGTGTAACTTCTCTTTGACCATATAAGGTTTATTTTAACAGGCTCCAGCTGTAAGTCCAACTGGCTTAGCAACCCAATCAACCTCATTGTCTAACATAGGAATCTCTTCATACTTTGTGGCGGTGCTCTTCTATTTTGTATTTATGAGTGGTTGTAAATTTTTCTTGTTCATTTAGTCCTTGTGACCAATGTCTATGATCTCTGTAGACATATTTGTGAAATTATCTTTAAAAAATGAAGGAAGATGGACATACTTTTCCTTTCCAAGAGAAAGATAATCCATAGAACCTTACTTTTGGCCTAAGGGGTGTGTGTGTGTGTGTGTTTAATTTATGGTGCATTCTCACATGCATTTTCTTGGACTGATTGAAAACAGGTACTCTGTCATATTGTTCCATCCTTAGTGAAGTTGAGGAAGGAGGGATTGGATGGTCACGAGAAGATTAAGAATTATATGTGTGTCTAGTTTTTCATCTCAGACAGTGAGATGAGTCCTTGCTACATGTATAATTCTTGATCAAATTTCTTGAACATTTACAAAACATGTTATTGTTCTCTCTTTTGCAGATGGTTGATTTCGCTTGGCTTTGCAATACTAGAAGCTATTATAGTTTCTTGTTATTCTCTTCCCTATTCAATTTATGCAGCCAGATACAGGTGCTTTAGCATTATAAACATCAAAGCAACAATCTTTGATGCTTTTGTTTCTCACAAGAAATTGGCAGGATATGAGACATTCCGCCTTTTCCTAGAATAAATTTTCTTCCATCTATATGTTTTATTTGAGCTTTTATTTGTAAACTAAAGTCTTATAGTTTCTTGCAGGGTCAAGCATGTGATGGTGACTGTTTTTCTATTGGTTTGTGGTGCAACGACTATGACATGGATCTGTGATACAATGTCAGAATCTGGATTTGGTACCATCCCTGTTTTTCTAGAAAATGTATTTTAGTTTTAGAAGTTGTAGAATATAAGAAACCCACTAAAAGTTTTGGTCTTTCATTCTTCAGCTTGTCCGAAGTCGAAGAAAATATATAGAAAATTGTTGTGCTTATTATAAATCATGTTTTCTTATATTTTGAAAGTGAAGTTGCATATTACTGGAATGTTCTCAGGTCAAGGTTCGTCTCAAATTATGTGTTGGAATATTAACCGGATACACTGATACACTGTACAAGATGTTGACTCAGCTCTCAGGTATGTAATGTGTGCTGACTAAGGTCTTCTTTGTAAGTTGTGTGGAGCTTTTGTCAGAACTATAACATTTCAGAGTGCATCATTGATAGTTTCTTGCTTTCACAGGCAGTGTTGCGAGTTGGTGGCCTTACATGCTTGCTGTACTAGGTATTTTTACTGTGGTCACGATGGGGGCAGTTGTTGTAACTGAGGGTTGCAGGAAAATAAAGCTACAGTACTATGGATTTAAACTAGCATCCGCTGCAAGGTAAAGTCAGCCCTATTTACCTACACATTAGATGCATTCGGTGTACAGACATAGACCTTGATTTCAATTACAGATGCTACATTCCATGGCTAATCTGAGCACAATAACTGATTTTATGTGAACTAAGGCTATGGTTAAACTCATTTAAGGAGATTTGTAACTTTCGCTCTGTTTACTTATAATTAATGGTTATACGATCTTTATCAATATCATATTTTCTTTATTTTGTGTGTTGGACAGGGACAGTTCCCCGATCACTGAAGTAGAACCCTATATTCCTTTTAATATTAATCCATCTGGAATGCAGCCTGTTCTCACTGTTGCCAGGTAAGTGGGCCTTGATGTGATTAAAATACTTGTCCTGAATCCTCGTTTCTTTTTGTATTTCAAGGTAATATTCTTTTGATGCATTACATAGCCTGGGTTTGTTGTTCGTCTTATCCAATGCACTTACCTTAAGGCCATCTTTTTTCGGATGCCCAGCAATTATCTAACACACTGCATTTTTGTAGTATCCTTGGTTCACCATTTTGGGAGCATGTTAAGGAGATATTGAACCCTGCAACATCTGTTGGTGCAGAGCCATGGGTTTACTATTCAATATATGCGTTTTTTGTTTTTCTGTTCAATATATTTGATATTGTAAGTTCTTTTGAACCTTGGTGATTCTAAGTTTCTGATGATTACCTGCTTATTGCCTGCTATTGCAATCTAAATTGCATGTCTGGGTATTGCTTAATGGGGTATCTGTGCCAGTAGAAAGTAATATATGATTCTTTTTCACTATTATACTGATTTTGCTTTATCTATGTTTTTTTTAATATTAAAGATTTCCTTCTGAACTTTCTCGGAATTTTGGGTATTTAGAGGTAGTGCTATGTATAGAAAGGATTAATACAAGCAGGGATTGAACTTTATGCTTTGATCCGTTGTCCTATTTTGGGTATTAGGAGAATATTATTCTTATGGTGCAGACATCTTCCCCACCCTAGAACACAATTTTGTTCTTACAGTTTAGTCGAGCTGTGCCGCTATAGTATTTGGTTAATAAACTCACAAAGCAGGTTTTCCTCCTCTCTGGATTTAAACATGGCTTCTATAGTATGCCTGAGAGTTTTACTGCTGTGGTGTTCTAACAGTAGTTCTGAGACCTTGAACGTACAATGACAGGTGACCCGTTCTTCCATAGGAAGAAATGGGGTAAGGGACCGGATTTCCATGGATTGAGGCAAGTTGTATGGTAAGGTAATTTGATGTAAATATTGATGGAGAGCCAATTGCACGTTCTGCAATTTTTATTTCATTTATCTAAATTCAAATACACGATGAATTATTGCATCTTGCCTTGAGAGTGTATGAACTGTGTAATCTTGTAGGTAGATGGTGGTTGCGGCCTCAAAATCCTGCATTTTTATGGCCTTCCCTATGCATTTATTGGCACTTCAGCTTACTATTTACAACAAGATAACTAGGCTCTAGACGAACCAATTTGATAACTCTAGCAAGTAACAACATCAATCGTCTTTAAGTTCCAGGCTCAACATCTGCATGACTCAAGTCCATGATTGCATCATATTTTTACCCTGTCGTTCTAAAGGCAACAAATGGGAAAAGAAAGATTACCTGCTCACCAATTAGCATTAGATCATAGCATCCGATGTTGGGAATCTCAGGATTCATGTATAAGCCATCCAAGCCCAGGTTAATAATCATTCACGATGGTAAATGCCATACGATTCCCTTAATATTCGTAAAATCACCTCGAGAACAAGAGCCTGGAAGCAAGGGAACAGGGTTAACGGCCTCGACCACGTCCCCTTCCACGCCCACGACCCCGACCACGTCCCAAAGGCTTCCCTGAATTTGAAAATGCATTAAAAAAACAAAGCTTATACAAGTAGGAAACTTTCAAAGAGGGAAAATGGAGCCGGAGAGAAATGGCGATACCAGCTGTTGGTTTCTTGGGTTTCACCCTAGGTGTCTCTTCAACCAGCAAGGTCTCAAGATTTAAGCTGTCAGGCAGAATATAGTAACGAATATTGTTACCCCTCACACTAAGGTGATCCAAACTCACCGGATTTTTCCCCTTCAGTGTAAGTTTCACTGTTTTCAGATGAGTGTTCATACTGACATCCACGCCTACAACAAACACATCAAATTGAACAGTCAGAAAACTTGCATGCTAAAATGTTATGTTCCATACGGAAATCCCTAAGGTATAACCATTTTAAAAAACCCAATACTTGGTAAAAGCAGATTCTGCTCGAATTAGAAACATAATCACCGGTTTCATATTGAATTCCTACAATTCAATAAGCCCAATAATAGAATAGAACAACTAATAGAAGATAAACATGCCACACAAAGTCGTCCTATATACAATATGAATAGAAAATTTGCACATAGTAATAGGTTCATAACCTAAACAAAAGTCTGCAAATGAGACGATTCCATCTAATACATGTAACCAACTAATAGCAAGATAGCCAAATACTTTACCGAATATAAGCTTCCTCTGAAAAATGAGGCCTAGAAACAAGCATACCAAGTCCAAAACCAGTTCATCTTCAAAGGTGATTACAAGTGTGCACAAACACCTAAATCTATCCCTGATTTTAAAGTTAGTAATTTTACCAAAAGGAAAGCTACATAATTCACAATCGAGAAGGGCATAACTCACTTTAATAAAAATGAAGGAAAAAAACTGAGAAAACAGTAAACCCTCAATAACTCTGGTCAACCGAGAAAAGATCTAACAAATAACCTTCACCTTCAACAACTTCGCTAAAACGGAGAGTTAGTTTAGCTAAACCCTAATGCGGATTAGAAAAGGGGAAGGTAACGAACGGAACCTGTGATGGTGCCGTGAACAACCGTTCCATTCTTGAGCTCAATCGACACCGTTTCATTGTTCAACTTCATCAAAAACCTGCTCCATCGTTTATTTCAAATCAACTCCAATATATCGAGAATAAAAAAAAGTAAAATAAATCGAGAGAATCAACGAACTGACCTGACGAGCTTCATGTTGAGGAAAATTAGGGCTTGAGGCAAAGGCGAGAGAGGCTGAGGAACTGTGTGAATAAGCGGGAGTTCGCTGCTTTGGGAGGGAAATTCATGGCTCGGGCGAGTGCTGAAATAGTTGCTGCATTCATGGGGCCAGACTTTTATTAGGTATCGGTCCAAAAATCTTCCCTTGACTTCAATAATAGCGTAAATATTAGGTCAAATCCTAATTTCGGTCCCTTTACCATGCTTAAATTCGTGATCAAGTATCTGTATTTTAGTTTCTTATAATTTAATCCTTTTCTTTTACATTATCCTTAGTCCAAATAGTTATCACCATTAATATTTAGGTTAAAATATGGCTTAAAAAATTAATCCTTCTAACATGTCTTGTTGACATGAATTGTTTTTGTGTTGAGAGATTTCTTTATATTAAGAAAATAATATAGAAAATTACTTTTTTGATAATTTAATAAACCTATTCAATTCTTAAAATAAAATTTTATAATTCCAAATTTATAGGAAAATGTATATATCCAATCATATGTTATATGTTAAGACAATAATTTTAAAAAGATTTAGATTAATTTACATGCATTTTTACGTAGGTCAAGAGAACAAAACAATTGAATAAAAAATTCTCTTTCTAGATGATAATAACTTGATAGCAACACGTACATATTTGTTCAGCATCAAACCGGCCGCCGGCTGCATCACAATCTTCGTCAACCTTCGCATGCGTAGGTGACGCTGCATTTGTCGTTGACGACCATGGTGTACTTATGATTAGGCTTCCAAAGGAACGGCGGCAAATGAATCAGAATCTCACACACACGGAAAGAATCTATCTGCTTCAGCCATTCACGGCAGTAGCGTTGTTAAGGTGTCTCATGAATCCCATGCCTCCGCCTGTGCCGGCTCCTCATGTTCTTGTGCCGGTGCGATCTACGCTCGTGTCCGTCTACCGGCGGAGGATGCGGCATCGGGAGTATAGGCACCATGGCACACGCGAAGTTCACCAGCGCAATCTGGGACCTGCGAAGTGGATGTCCGAAGGTTAATTGCTCTGGGCTTACGGTCATGTTATTCGACAGTGCAACGAAGAAGAACGTGGAGAAGAGGGATAATACATGATGAATCCCAAGCTTGGCCGCCATTGTTGAGCTTTATCTTCAATATTTCATCTTCAGCCTAAAAAAGAGGGGGACTTGATCAATTTATACTCCATAAACTTTTTGTGTAAGAATAAAAAAAAACTAGGGCAAACTCGCATCAGAGGTCCCTATACTTTTAAAAACGTTCAATGTGATCATCATATTATTTTCTCTCTCAATGTGGCCCTCCCACTCAAAAAATAAACTAAATGTAACTCTTTGACCAACATTTTTTCTTCGTTGACCGTTACGGTGCTTATGTGTCAGTTCATGGTTGTCTATGATGCTGACAAACAATCTAGGGAGACATATTAACGTGATAGATTGGCTAAATTGGTTAGTCAAACATTGCAGATGGACTACCATGTCAGTATCGTGGACCGCCATGTTAGCACCGTGAATCGACACGCCAGTACTGTAACGGTCAACGACGAAAAAACGTTGGTCAAAGGGTCACATTGTATTTGTTTTATGAGTTGAAGGATCACATTAAGGAAAAAAATAATACGAGGGCAATATTGGTTTTTCTCGAAAGTACACTGTAGACACCCGTTTTTGACCGGACTTAAAAAATATATTATATTATTATTATTATTATTATTATTATTATTACTTATTATTATTATATTATTAATACTATTAATATTATTTTTGCAGGTTTATTTCAACAACAAACTATCCCACCACTACTCCAACTAACCCACTAAATCCCTAAAAACCCGGCTAGTGCAACCCCGATAAATTCAACTGAAAATGGGACTCTGGGGACCCCTCTCTCTAACTACGCACCACCCATATTCTCCTGTAAACTAGGAACAACAGAAAATCACCGCTTTGCCAAGCTATTTTTAGATTATAATTTTCTTATATATTCTTCACGTATTGGTTGAATCGAGGGGGAGGAGGTCAAAGCATATAACTTTGCATGTGCTTGCTTGCAAAAGAATGATGGCTACAATGCCCTCTTCACCCCTGGAGGCTTAATGTATGTTCGTGAATGGAACAATTTGCAATATGCATCAACAACAACATTTCTTCTTGCAGTGTACTCTGATTATCTCTATGCTGCAAATTTCAACGCGTGATACGTTGCCAACGCCTCAACAATGAAGACCGAGTCAAAATTCTCTTTCACTGCTGGGTTTAGAGGCAGCTTCCAACGAATCAGCTATGGTAATCTGGAGATAAAGGTTTACACTTGAGTATTCATGACACAGAGCACGAACCGAGGGATTAATGAATCTATTCTCGGTTTGCTGGAGCCCGTTTGGGAATGAAGTAGAAAATCACGAAACAAACGGCATTCTCGGAGGCGGCGACAGCGGAAGTACCGGTGGCTCAAGGGAAGTTAGAGACGGGTTTATTTGGTTTCATGATATAGGGTAATCTGGGTCCGGTGAATTTTCCATAGCCGTGATCCAAGCGAACCAGGTGCTAGAGGACCAGAGCCATATCGAGTCGGGCCAATTCGGCACCTTCATCGGAATCTATGACTGACACGGAGGACCCGAGGCGGTGCGTTACGTTTGCGATCACTTGTTCAATAATTTTCGAGCAATGGTGGTTGAATCGGGGGAAGTTGTGACTGCTGAGACCATTCAAAGAGCTTTTCAACAAACAGAGGAAGGGTTTACGGCCCTGGTGTCGGAGCTATGGAGTACTCGACCAAATATGGCAACTGTTGGACTTACAGTCATTTGAGAGCTTTAATTATGTTCATTCACGTGCGTTGAACAAGAGGATGGGGAATTAGTATGCCTTTTGCTAGAATTGGTCACTATGCTCAATTTGGCCATTGAATTCTCAATTTATTCAATTCGGTCCCTATTTATAATTTACATTTTTTTAACCCCTTTAACTATTTATTTATTTTTTTCTCTTGCAGCTCATTTTTAGTCCCGATTTAATCTATTAACCCCGATTTGTTTCAATTTGATACTCTAAGTTTTTTTTATTTTTATGTTTTTTCCCATTTATTTATTTTTTTATCTAACGTCCTTGACCCTTTTTTTAGAAGAATTTTAACTAATCAAAGGTAAATGATTTGAATCGAGTATTTAATTTTTTTTTTTAAATTTCTAATTTTCGCAAATAAGACAATCGATAAATTAATTGGTACCGAAAGGGCGGTTCAAGGGTGCTAATCCTTCCTTGACCGTAACCGACTCCCGAGCCCGACACGTTTCTGGTACAACGCAGATCAGGTAAGATGGTGTCCGACCCACCTAAATTTGTTTTAAAGTGGTCGGTGGCGACTCCTAACCCAATTAATCTAAGTCGAAGCCCAATTCCGGGGCCCAACCGAAAGACGGATCCGACAGCTTGGCGACTCCGCTGGGGACAGGTAAGTGAGTCAGGCCAGAATTAATTTTCCGTTGTCTTTTTATGCGAAAATTGTAAATTTAATTTTAATTTATTTATTCGATTCCAATTATTTACCTTTGATTATTTTTCAAATAAATAGTTGTACTAACGTTTGTTCAATGATTTCAGATTTTTCATCTTTGGCTCTATACCCGAGCTCCAAACCCTTTTAAGTGGGGGTGAAAGCGACGCATTCGTGTGAATTTATTCACCGCATATGCCTAGCAAGTAGCCTTCGGGATTCATATACCTTATGTCTTCGTGTGAATTTATTCACCGTGCGGGCATAAGGGAATGTTTCCTCTCGAGTTTAACTTAGTCCACACAAGCTTGTAATGGGCTTAGGACTAAGGGTCTGACAAGCCCAAGGGGGCACCAGTAAGGAGAACTCGAGTACCTTTTTAGAACGTAAATCGGGAGATTGTAGGGAATTAGAGCCCACCCCAAAACCTCATTCCAAACCCTAGGTTATTTTTATTTCCTGTTATATTTTCTGCTCCAAGCATGCGAACTAGACAAATATGCGGTTAGGATTTGTTTGAAATTAGCATGCGGGATAGAGATCATGTCCGGGTAGGAATAATAAGCATGTGGGGTAGGACTTTTCATTTTTCATCTTTTTTTATATATTATTATCCTTATCTCACTAACTTTTTTTTTCTCCTTTCATTTTTGTTCTTTTGCATTTTTTATCATTCGCATCATTAAAACGAGGTGTTGATCCACCAAAAATGTGTTTGTTAAACGTAAATAATCTGCATAAATGGACAAAGGGGTTATAATACAAAGAGATAAAAAGCTCAGAAGTCCAACCGTGATCAAAGAATACTCAGAGGCAAAGGTTGCAGGGGCAAGACGAGGAAATGATTACTGACCCAGAAAGTCATTTCGAAAATTACGAGAACAAGATGGTGAAACCCTAGCTAAGTCGGAGACCATTATTGATGAATTCCAAGATCAGGTCGACAAACATCGGATTGAGGGCTCCAATGGAACTTTCATTTGGAACGAGCTCGGCATAGAGCGAAGGCCGGAGATGCAGTTATTCGAGACCTTTTTTGGGGCAAGCAACTCGTTACCCGCACAAGTTTAGCCAAAGAAACTGGAATGGTTCGACAAGATATTCAACCGGTGAAAAAGCGGAAGATGAATCAACTTTCCAGAGGCTGTGCAGGATTTATACCATCAAAAAAGTTTTTTTGTCTCTTTAGACGTAACATTTTTGTCCCCAATAAGGATTATTCAGAATAATAGGCACATTTTTCGGATCAATGCCTCGAACATTTCATGCATCATACATTCAGACATATTGTGCATTTTGTTATTTTTCTTTACATTCGCATTATGATTCCTTTTTTTTCATTACATTCACATGTCTCATAAAAAATGAGGATATTCCGATCCTATGACATATAAAGAGCTTTACCAACAGTTGTTTGATGCACACGTGGTGTCCATGAAGCCCCGTACACCAGGTGGTATGATGAGAACGTTCATTGCGAAAATCATAGCGGAGTCCCAGGGTGCACTATCGAGAATTACTCCACCATCAAGAGAATCATACAGAAAATACGTAACAAGAATCAGATCGACTTCAAC